GGAGGCTCTCAAAAAACAATCAGTACAAGGCCTTGGAAGTGGGACAAACTATTGGACCAATTGTGTAGCGTACGGATCAGGACACTGGCAAATCAAAAGGGGTGGGGGGGGGGGGTCTTCCTAACCTCACAGTCATCTTTGGAAAAGTGTACATTTAAATTCTTCTCTAAAAATGTCAACACGAAGCTCTGTTTCTCCGGAAAGAAGATAAAATGATAGAAAATAAACAATTGTCAGTCGATTGCAGTAGTTGAGATTGCGCTTGCCAACATAAGTGTATTTCAAATAAATTGGGATGTAGATGCCATGTAATTTTTTTTATTCTTGATGTCATGTTTCTTTAAATGAGTGGGGTGATTTTTTCAAAAATTCAGTAGGAAAATAAGAAATAGAAGAAATCATATCTTTCTTATAACTATTTTCTTTGCATTTTCCCGATCGGTCATATTTATGAATATTAGTCATTCAGTTCTAACAAAATCATTCGTGTAATTTCAGATTGTCGGCATGTTCCTGACGTATTTTTTCCTGATGGTTCAGTTCAAACCGTCAACAGAGGACGCAACTGCAGTGAACTCTACCAGTACTGGATAGAACAGCCACGAAGTTTACTGTGATAGCAATTGCAGAACTGGGGGGTGGGAGGGGGGGGGGTGAGGGGGGCGGGGGTGGGGGTGGTAGAGGACGGGGGGAGGGGGGCGCACTACCCTCTAAGCTTTGGAGGTATCCCCTTCTTCCCTTTCACCCTTCAAAATCTATAACATGTGAACAAAAATATAGACTGTGATATTTTAACTGTTACAAAGGTTGAATATTTATCAGCTCGGATATTTTGTAGGTAGAAAATGTACGACTTGGTAACGGCGTATAGCTATGGCCAATGATCAGAAGTCACGTGGGTGTGAATGTTAAGCACTAGATTCGCTAGTGGGCACAAAAAAAAAAAATGGGAGATACTAAATCGTGTTTAACTCGTGTATATGTATAAATATTTGGATATAGAAACAATAAGTCAATTTTTACACGTATAGAGTGTCTGAAGTTTCAGCAGTTTTGTGAAGGGAACAGGTCGCAATGTGCTGTAAAACTATATTGTAAACCGATATAATGGTAGATTTCTATTTAGATAGCACGGAGTAGAATTTATCATGAGATTGTCCGTGTTTAGTTGTAATGTTGATATTCATAAAAAAATTAAATGGAATGCTTTTGAATATGCTTATATATAATTTTATAATAATTAAATAACGATCAGCAGTTGCATTATTATTATTATTATTATTATTATTGTTTTTGAGCAAATGCGCGGAAGCTAAATGCTACTGCTTTGTTTTAATTATATTTTGTATAAATTATTTATTTTACATAAATTACTAATTAGGTACCAATCGAATTAATTGTTTTATTGCACTATCCAACTGTATTAGTAACAGATATAAATCGTTATATCATTATTATAATTATAATTATTATTATTATTTGACTATACTCAAATCGGAGATTTTAGATCTACGGAAGTGCCGCCAGAACCAGCTGGGTGGGGCGGTAACATTCATTGATCAATTTCAAAAACGAGGCGTATGAATGGGCAGTTTGATAGGAACGGATCCTCCTTGCATGGAACGGATCCTCCTTGCATGGCGATTGTCTTCTCTAATTCTATAAACAAAAATCTGCAAAAAAACCAAGTAAAAGCCTGTCATCAAAAGTTTACAAGTCAGCATACATGCACAATCGATAGATGTTAGTAATCGGAAATTTTACCCTATCTACCACAGAAAACGGAAACATGCTAATCGCAGTTATTGGTTCAAAACTATCAGAAGGAAGTTGAAATAAATAAAATCAAATATTTATCAAATAATATCAGCTATTAAATGTATATAAAATCAAATATGTGCAAACTCTTTTTGTTTATCAGCGTTTTTTTGATAATTTCAAAAGTACCGTGAATTTTAGGTATATTATAATGGTTGTTTGATATGCAAGTACAGGGATCTGTGCTTGGAAGAGTGTGTAGTCATGAAATCTCTCGACATAGACTTCCCGTCTTCAATTGCAAATGGCCATGGATCAGTGATAAAAAATCAATATGAAGCTTATATAAAGGTACAGCAGCTCACGTCCGAGTACCTTAGTGACCATATACCTTTAACAATGGCTGAGGGTCGAGTCACAGTGATAGATCTTGATAGATTTGAATTGGTTGGAAAACAACATGATACCAAGGGCGTATCTGAGACTTTATCAAAGAGACAAAATGGCAAAGCAGTGGCCATAGAAGATTCGAAGGTTTACAGAAGCTTTAAACCAATAAGAGTTGTCATGACAATATTCGGGCTTTACCACGACAGAAAGGGTGGCGCTTACAAAATTCACGACACCACGACGAAGGGGAAGGAGCAAAGGAAGCAGAATGTGTCATTTCTGGAAGTTTACAGTTCTTTTGCCGTGCTTTATATTTGGGTACATTTCATACTACATGGACTGGTGGCGTTTGATGGCAACGAGAGTGTAGCAAACCCAGCACTGTACTACAAAATAATGTTTGCGGTTTGGGACATGACTGCAGTTCTTCAAGTTACATTCTGCTTCTGTGCGTGTCGCTATAGATTGCCGTCTGTTTGGAGGGAATGCGCACGGTTAGAATCTGATCTGCCTAGCGTCATGGAGGTAATAAAGCTCGAACTAAGAACCAAAATTGCGGTCGTACTTGTGATAGTTTATGCCGTTTTACACATTACATACGGCGTGTATGTAATGTCAAATGGCTTAATACCAGAATTTTTTTATTCTCCCTTTCATTACTACGTGGATTTCAAAGTCCCCAGCGTCGAGGTGACAGTACTGATAGTATATTCCGCAATGAGTGGTTTTTACGCGACTCTTGCTGCTTTACTCCCATATGCTATTTACACATTCTTTTGCATTCTGTTTTACACCCTGTTTAAGGCATTCAACGATGAGTTTAAAAAGGAAGTTCAACAAGCCCTTGATACAGGTGAGCCCCTCCGCGTGGAGTTCCACCGACGCCGTCATCTGAAACTTTGTAAATTGTTCGACATTGCTGGTGGAATGTTCAGCTTCTTTGTGGCCTACGTTTTAGTATTGAATACAGGACTTTGTTGCCTCGTATGTTACATATTGATTTATCATTTTGACACGGCGACCGATTCCCCAATTGACATAATGGCCACGATGACTTGGGCAGTTCAGTCCGTCGTGCAACTGGGCATTATTTCCGCTGGAGCAGTAGTTAACGATCAGGTTAGTCTCTCTCTCTCCCACTCTCTCTCTCTCCCCCAGTTTCAGTCTATTTGACTGTTTTTCGAATGACGCGTAACTGTCTCACACAATTAATTTGTGTCACTCGATCTCGTTGACATGACATTTTTTGTACTGTTGATCGTCATTTCCGGTGGAGCAACATTAAGCTATCAGATAGGATTGTTACTCGTATTCTCCTTGGGCTTCTTCTATGAATTACCCCGCTGGGTGAAAGAAACGCTTTGTTCGATGATATTACATGCTTGTCGAGCTCTTACAGAATGCATTTGGTCGCAAAATGTAGCTTGCTTGGTTGGAAAATAGCGACTCAACATGAGTGTCTTAATCGGAATCGCTTTTTTTTTCTGGTAAGAGGAAATATTTAAAAAATGCATTCGGGCGTTTTCTTTGACTGAGTGTTTTCTGCAAATCACTCAGTGTACAAAGTATGCTGTTTTCATTGGAAATCAACTTCATTCATCGTGTTAAGTGAACATGGCTCTCCTTTTCAAAATGTTAAATGCTCTTTATCGTTAAAAGCCTAACAAATGATATCCTTTTTATCGAACTAGCTTTTTGGCAACTGCTGGTCAAATATTTACTTGCTTAACATGCTTTTTCCGGTGCATGGACTACCGGAAGAAGGTTGAAGCTAGAAAGTGCTTTACATAACTAGACTGTTTGGGCAAACCGTTTCAAGCACAGGGTCGTCAGTTTTGTCATCTTTATGAAAAAAAAAGTAAAGGAAAAAACGTATGTTGACAAGCCCTTGTTTCAATGCTCTTATAATTTAAAAAAGGTTACAATGTATGACGCACTCACAAAAATTGCGACGGATTAAATAATTGTTTTAATTTGTTAAAACGCTGTATATATTTAACCGTCTTATGTTTAAATTAGATCTTTTCGTTATCCTGGAAATCATAAAATGATTACAGTTCTAGTTATTTCTATATCTAAGACAGAGGGAAAATGTGCAGTTTGTAACATAAACCGTATAATAGTTTTAAAAAATAATAAAAAAATTAACACATTTAACTGTTAACCACATATTTTTATTATATTATTATAACCATATCATTTTTCATTTCATTATTATTTATCATATCATCAAGGCTTACTGCTTCTCTTTATTCAGGGTGTTGTATCAACTTTTTTGCCTGATGTGGTTTATAAGCCCACCACACAATTTTGCTATTAGCTTTACTAATGATTTGCTATGCGATCTAACTTAGGTAGAGAAATATTAAAATTTTCATGGTTGATTCCAGGATAAACTATTCTCGCCCTTTCTTATATATGTGATAACCCTGTGCGGTGACATAATTAATGGCCACGATGACTTGGGCACCTGTGTGTTTTTTCAACATTTAGAAGGAATAGGATATCTTAAATTATAACATAAGTACATGTATTTGTAATATGTTTTACTTAGGCACATGTGCCGCTCTTGGAACTCAACGAGGCTCAGTTGGATATCATACCTGATAGTCAGTCAATTCCGGTAAGTATAAAATGTGTTCAACAGGTACCTGGTATTTGCCTCTGGTTGGAGGCAATCCAGCTTTAATAGTAGAGTTACGTCATACTAGTAGAAAGTCTGTTTGAACTAGAAGAGTATTTTCAAGGTTCAGCAAAGAATTTCATCAGTTGTGTCGGGACAAGTTAAAATATGATTTTCTAGTGACCGAAGCCATTTTGTTTTCAAAATGTCAATTAAATATTGTAAACAAGGCCATGTTTGGTAGAGCATGGTTATAGTCTCGATTGCTTTGGAAAAGTATGTTACTGGTTAGTGAAGTACAATCGGATGCAAAACTATACAAGCCTTTTGCACTGCTATGAAACGGTTCCAAATTTTCACCGTCAATTTTTATAGTTTCAGATGTTCCTGAACAAGCTAAGTGTAACTCCAATAGGATTTAGTGCACTGGGGATGTTTACTATAGATAAACCTACCATACTGACGGTGAGTAAAGCGGCTTCTTGTTCTTTATATACGTTTTATGAAATACCCGTGTACTTTTAGGATAACAAAAAAAAAAAAAAATAAATAAATAAATAAATAATTATAATAATAAATCTTTAAAGCCATCTACAATCTGCACTGTTTATGGACAGTCGTCGCCCGTAGCCAACAAATTAATTTTCTCTGGCCTTCACCTGAAATTAGTAAATTTGTAAAATTAACAACGATTCTCTTACTCCAATATAATAATTGGAGTAGTTTTATTTGCCTACAATGGATTGACGCATTTTCAGTGGATGGCAAAATGTGTTAGATCTATATTTTAGAAATGCATTTCTGCATGCATTTCCAAAGCTTAAAGAATCTATCATATTT